TATATAAATATCAACGTAATTCTCGTACCCGTAATTATATATTTTTTTGAGATATTGAAATTTTTTTTTAATAGTGAATTGGTGTATCTGCGTCACGTGTCTCATCCCTTGACATTAGTAAATACCACAGCTCTTGAAATTGATGGACGAGATGGAGTTAGTTACGGCGTATTGGTTGTTTTTGCCCTCCCTCTTGCCCCGACAACACAACCTTGGAGTGACTGTTTGTAGCCCGCTTGATGCTGCTCTTGTGTTTCCTCGTCATCAGTCATCATCCCTTATGCTTATTCCTTGTGTATTAATCTCTCTCTCTCTCTCTCTCTCTCTCTCTCTCTCTCTCTCTCTCGTTTTTATGGACTGAATGATAGGGATACAAAGGTAGAGAGAGAGATTTGTATGGGAAATAAGTAGTGAGCAAAGGGGATATCCGACTGACTCTCTCTCTCTCTCTCTCTCTCTCTCTCTCATATAAGTGTAATTCCACGCATTGTATCTATATTTACATTATGAGTATGAGATGAATGGAGAGAGAGGGAGAGAGAAATAGAACCAAACACTATCTCTGTCTGCTTGTCTGTCTCTTTCGTCCTTAAATACCACCCCCTCCCCCCCGCCAGCGTCCTTCATGGTGCTTGCTTGAGGGTCATCAAACAAACAAACAAGCAAACGAACGCGAAAAGGGCAGAGTGTTAGGCAGGGCGCGGCCACCTGACCTTTAGTGGCCCTATCCGGAAATTCTCTCTCTTTTTTCTCTCTTTTCTCTCTCTCTCTCTCTCTCTCTCTCTTCGTGTATCGTTTGTTTGTCTCAATATAATAACAAGAACAACAATAATAAGAGCAATAATAATAATAATAATAATAATAATAATTATAAATCTTGACAAGGTTTACGGGTCATGTGCGTATCGTCATGCTCACATGCACACAGCTGATCATAACGTTATCTTGGATACATGACTGAATCTTACACACACACATGTACGTAAAGAAAAACGTATCCATTGAGCCAAATATTACACTGTTTGATCAAATAAAACTCACACATTCAAGATCGAACACCAAGGATCGAACACTCAGAACAAACGCTAAAGATCGAACACCAAGATCAAGGGATTAAGACCTATTCCCTAAAATTACGAGTGGTGTGCCCCCCCCCCGAGCCCCACTGGCCCAAGCAAGAACTCGCTCTATAAATCTGCGTTGACAAAAACAAAAAAATTATATAATAATGACCAAAAAGAAAAAAAAAAGAGCCACGGGATATTTAAGGCGTGACCTGTATGTTATTAAAGGCAAGGTGTTCAAGGTAGCGTCAAGCACCAAGCACATGATTGTCAGTCTTTTGTCAGGTGCGCATGACGGGGGTGGGGAGGTGGTGGAGGTGTGGACGGATGTACTGTTATTGTGTGTGTCAGGCGTTCATGATGTTGTGGAAGGGGGAGGGGAGCGTGTGAGTGTATTTGGTTGTGTGTCTCAGGTGGATATGACGGGGGAGGAGGAAGAGGGGGATATACTGTTACTGCGTGTGTGTGTGTGTGTGTCAGGCGCGTAAGATGATGATGGAGGAGGAGGTGGTGGGAGGAAATACTGTTGTTGCTTACGTGTGTTAGATTTTGTGTGTGAAAGGAGAGGAGGAGGAGGATGGGAGGGGGGGGGGAAGGAAGGGGCCATGTATTGTTATCGTCTTACCACCTGGGCCAAGATATTGATTTTAGGAAAGAACATTCCCTCCCCTGTATCCCTTCCCTCTCCTCTCCTCTCCTCTCCTCAAGAGTGCCAAAGTTTATCACCAAAAGATAGGTCAAACACACAACCTCTCTCTCTCTCTCTCTCTCTCTCTCTAAGATGTGTAGGTGAGGGTCGTTAGCCACCTTAGGAATGTGGTGACCTTTGTTGTTGTTTTTTTTTGCGATTTTTTAATTTTCGTTTGTTTTTCATCTGTCTTTGTTCATTAATTGTCTCGTTATTTCTTAAGTTGTTTGCTTTATCTTTCTTTATTTCATTCATATCTCTTTCTTTACAATAAGATAATTAATTACCATTCTATAAATTCATTCTGATGTATAATTAAGATTTGGCATCACTTACCATATTTCAGTCGACCCAACCATCATCATCATTATTATTATTATTATTAGTTGTAATAGTAGTAGCAGTCGTAGTAGTAGTAGTATAGAAAAGATTTGGAATTTATGATGCTTAGTTGACCTCACGCGCCAGGTCACAGATGACAGAAGTCGCTAAACGTCGCATCTTTCACATTTCATCGTGATGCCACTTCTCAGATATACCTGCCTACAGTACTCATATATACCTGCCAACAGTACTCATATATACCTGCCTACAGTACTCGTATATACCTGCCTACAGTACTCGTATATACCTGCCAACAGTACTCATCACACAGACATACCTGGAGCTCTTGCGGTCTTATAATATGTGGAGGTGAGGGACGGGTGGGAGGGTACGTGAAGGTACTCCGTGATAGTCTTCGCCGCGTGACTGCCTGTCTAGTATCTCTTTGTGTTTACGCAAGGAGCACGTGGCTTTGTTTTGGTGCATCAGCTGATTTTACCCTCGTGAGTTGCCGATTGATATATTTTTTTTAATGACACTCGCTACTGATAGATGTATGGCAATGATTAAAGAGGAAAGTTGTTAATTATATGCAAAGGTATTATTGAAAATCTGTTGTTGATTTTATGTGTAAACTTTTATGCTACATAAATAAGCATACGTGCAGAATATCGATGAAATTGTAGTTAATATTGAAAGGGAATAAGGTAATGGAATATTTATGACTCGAGGTTAAGAGACGAATTTCCGTTGGTTAATCATTGGTATTCCGACCTTATCGCCACAACGGTCTGATCGTCACGTTAAGCACTTCAAATGACAGAGGGTAACGTTATGGTACGGTATCGGAAAGGTAAAGACTTGGAGATTATCTACCTCACCCAAACCTAACCTAACCTAAAATTGTATAGGCTTTAGGAAGTGAGTTACGTACAATATGTAGACCAAGAGAGAGAGAGAGAGAGAGAGAGAGAGAGATAATGAGATTCGCTTCACAGAACATTACTCAACACGCTGAGAATTTACAAAAAAAGGAAAATAAAGATGACGCTTTAGATTATGTGTACACGAGTGACCTCAACGAAACATAAGACACACCTGTAAGCAATATACCTGACCTGGCTAGAGGGTCACCCTCATCGTGAGTCAGGTCACCTTCATTTTACAAGAGTTAGGAGATCACCTTAATCGTAGGAGGATCAGGAGGTGACCTTCATTTTAGGAAGGCCAAGACTTGACCTTTGTATTTGGATGGCCAGCAGGTTAACCTTTGTCTCTGAAGGATTAGGAGTTGACCTTTATCTGAGGGTGGTCAGCAGTAGCAGGGAAGTACAGTGGGGCACCTCACCTTGAAGCTGTGACCTCTGACCCTCACTGCACTGACTGCTCGACCTTTAGGGGGATGTAACGCTGAAGTGCACCTGCGACCAGGAAGTGCTGACCAACACCCGATGGTTATATCACTTACCTGCCAGTTATATAACATACCCTCATACTTATACCTCATAAACACGACTACTGTCTATAACAACCATGTCTATAATCTTGCTCTATATAATTCATCTACTCTGGTTTGATGTATAAGGAAACGCCGTTGTTTGTATATCTCAATTAGGTGTTTTCTTCTATAAACGGAACACGTGAGGACTTGACACCCCAGATTATTTCACCTTGAGATTAATCAACTTAACGCTAATCCAACTTAACTTAATCTCACTTAACCTAACCTATCTTATTATTACCTAACTTGAAGCCATTTGTTCTTCTGTTTTGTTATATGTATTTAAAGAGTAATGCATTTATTTGTTTATATGTATTTACCCCGTTGAGGATTTAATGCATTTCCAACTAAACTTTTTTCCCCCAGTTCCTATACTACCAACAAATCGTTTCCCCATTTTCTGCATTACTTTTCACTCTTCCAACATTCCCCCCCCCCACTTTTCCAACACACTGTATTTTCCCCCACCCATTTCCCTCTTTTCTAATATTTTCTCCCATTTTCCACATTTCCAACATCCCCCACACCACCACGTTTCCCTCTTCAAACACACTGTATCTCCCTAAACCCATTTCCTATTTTTCCATTATAACTCTCCCTATTTTCCACCCTTCCAACATATCTTCCTCCTCCCTCTCTTCCCCCCTCCTCCCACCTACCCTCCTCCCACCTACCCTCCTCCCATCTTCCTACCCCACCCCTCTCCTCTCCTCCCCTCCCCTCTCCTCTCTTCTTTGTTGCTTCTCTAAGGTGAAGCATAATTATTCACTTCAATTATTCTATCTTCTCACGATTTACTTCACACACCCAGGACTACTTTAGCTATACGTCTCTCTACGCTCTTCGTTATATCAAGGACTTTTTTTTATACGGACCAGAGGGGCCCCCACAAAACCCCCCTCACCCACCCACCACAGCTCCAAGGACAGACCCAACCCCCACAATTCCCAGGACAGCTCCCCTCTCCATAGTTTAAAGGACAGCCCCCAGCATAATTTCAAGGACAGCCCCCCTTTTACCCATAACCAAAGACAGTCCTTAATTTACAGCCCCCTTCACCCGGTTCTGAGGACAGCCCCCAGAGTTCCAAGGAGCCCTTCATAGCCCTTCACATTTTCAAGGACAGCCCCCAGAGTTTCAAGATCAGCCCCCCTAACTTGCAGCCTCTTCACCCAATTCTGACAGCCCCAAGAGATCTAATAATAACCATTCACAGTTCCAAGGCCAGCTCCAGAGTTCTTGAGGATAGCCCTCAAGTTCCAGGACAGCCCTGCATACTTCAGGACAGCCCCCATGGTTAAGGATGAGCCCCCATACTTCCAAGGACAGCCCCAGTTCCAAGGATAATTACAGGACGGCCCCCATGGTTCAAGGATAGCCCCCATAGCTTCCCCCCATACTCAGATAGCCCCATGGTTCAAGGATGATGCTTGGACCCCATGGTTCCAAGACCATAGCCCATGCTTCCAAGGACAGCCCCATGGTTAAAGATGGTCCCCCCACTTCAAGGACAGCCCCCATGGTTCTGAGTTAGTCCCCCATACTTCCAAGGACAGCCCCATAGTTCCAAGGATAGACCCCCATATTTTCCAAGGACAGCCCCCATGGTTCAAGGATAGTCCATGCTTCCAAGACAGCCCCATAGTTCAAGGATAGCCCCCATACTTCCAAGGACAGCCCCCATAGTTCCAAAGGACACCCCCCATACTTCCAAGGACAGCCCTTAGTTCCAAAGGATAGCCCCCCATACTTCCAAGGACAGCCCCCACAGTTCTAAAGACAGCCCTCCCACTTGTTTACATTCCAGACTACCAGAAGGGAGATAGTGGACAAATATATCAGTAGTTAATGTCAAAGTCTAAACAACACTATAAAAAGCTTTTGTTATTTTATCTAGTGGAGGGAGAAGGAAGGAAGGAAGGGAGGGACACTGGAGGAAGAAGGGAGGGACGGAGAGACAATGAAGGAAGAAGGGAGGGAGGGGGAGACCAGGAAGGAGAAGGAAAAGAGGGAGGGAGAGACATTGGAGGAAGAAGGGAGGGAGGGAGACATTATGGAGGAAGGAGGGACAGAGACACCATGAAGGGAGGGGGGAGATACCGTGGAGGAAGGGAAAGACACCATGGAGGAAGAAGGGACGGAGGGAGAGAGACACCATAGAGGAAGGGACGAAGGGAGAGAGACACGAAGGAGGGAGGGAGGGAGGGAGGGGGCCCTAATGTGAGGTTGGCCACCCACAGTCAATAAACTTTAAAACAGACCTTGGTGCTGTATACAACCTCTTGAGCAGAAGGTGACCACAACTGTTCTGTGTCCTGGCGAGGGAGTCATATTGTAAATCAGGACTAACGAGGGAGTCATATTGTAAATCAGGACTAACGAGGGAGTCATATTGTAAATCAGGACTAACGAGAGAGTCATATTGTAAATCAGGACTAACGAGTTATATTGTAAATCAGGACTAACGAGGGAGTCATATTGTAAATCAGGACTAACGAGGGAGTCATATTGTAAATCAGGACTAACGAGGGAGTGATACCGTAAATCAGGACTAACGAGAGAGTCATATTGTAAATCAGGACTAACGAGAGAGTCCTATTGTAAATCAGGACTAACGAGGGAGTGATACCGTAAATCAGGACTAACGAGGGAGTCATATTGTAAATCAGGACTAACGAGGGAGTGATACCGTAAATCAGGACTAACGAGGGAGTTATACCGTAAATCAGGACTAACGAGGGAGTTATACCGTAAATCAGGACTAACGAGAGAGTCATATTGTAAATCAGGACTAACGAGAGAGTCATATTGTAAATCAGGACTAACGAGGGAGTCATATTGTAAATCAGGGCTAACGAGTTATATTGTAAATCAGGACTAACGAGGGAGTCATATTGTAAATCAGGACTAACGAGGGAGTCACTATTGTAAATCAGGACTAACGAGGGAGTCATATTGTAAATCAGGACTAACGAGGGAGTCATATTGTAAATCAGGACTAACGAGAGAGTCATATTGTAAATCAGGACTAACGAGTTATATTGTAAATCAGGACTAACGAGGGAGTCATATTGTAAATCAGGACTAACGAGGGAGTCATATTGTAAATCAGGACTAACGAGGGAGTGATACCGTAAATCAGGACTAACGAGAGAGTCATATTGTAAATCAGGACTAACGAGAGAGTCCTATTGTAAATCAGGACTAACGAGGGAGTGATACCGTAAATCAGGACTAACGAGGGAGTCATATTGTAAATCAGGACTAACGAGGGAGTGATACCGTAAATCAGGACTAACGAGGGAGTTATACCGTAAATCAGGACTAACGAGGGAGTTATACCGTAAATCAGGACTAACGAGAGAGTCATATTGTAAATCAGGACTAACGAGAGAGTCATATTGTAAATCAGGACTAACGAGGGAGTCATATTGTAAATCAGGGCTAACGAGTTATATTGTAAATCAAGACTAACGAGGGAGTTATATTGTAAATGAGGTCCTACTAAGCCCAGATTCTCGCTACTCACAACACCTCAGTCTGTTTAGCCTGTCTCCGTCCACAAACCTATGCCTCGTGGGTCTGCATCTCCCCTTACCTGTATAATTATGTCCGTACCTGTATAAATATGTCCTTACCTGTATTAATGTCCTTACCTGTTAAAATATGTCCTTACCTGTATAATTAACTCCTTACCTGTATAATTAACTCCGTACCTGTATACATTTTTCCTTACCTGTATAATTATGTCCTTACTTATATAAATTTGTTCTTACCTGTATAAATATGTCTTTACCTGTATAATTAACTCCTTACCTGTATAAATATGTCCTTAGCCCGTATAAATGGCTTTACCTGTATAATTAACTCCTTACCTGTATGGATATGTCCTTACCTGTATAAATATGTCCTTACCTGTATAAATGTGCTTACCTGTTTAAATATGTCCTTACCTGTATAATTAATTCCTTACCTGTATCAATTTTTCCTTACCTGTATAATTATGTCCTTACCTGTATAAATTTGTCTTTACCCGTATGAATTTGTTCTTACCTGTATAAATATGTCCTTACCTGTATAATTATATCCTTACCTGTATAAATTGTCCTTACCTGTATAAATATGTCTTTACCTGTATAATTAACTCCTTACCTGTATAAATATGTCCTTAGCCCGTATAAATGGCTTTACCTGTATAATTAACTCCTTACCTGTATGGATATGTCCTTACCTGTATAAATGTCCTTACCTGTTTAAATGTCCTTACCTTTTAAATTAACTCCTTACCTGTATAAATATGTCCTTACCTGTATAAATGTGCTTACCTGTTTAAATATGTCCTTACCTGTATAATTAATTCCTTACCTGTATCAATTTTTCCTTACCTGTATAATTATGTCCTTACCTGTCCTTACCTGTATAATTATGTCCTTACCTGTATAAATTTGTCTTTACCTGTATAATTAACTCCTTACCTGTATTATTATGTCCTTACCTGTATAATTATATCCTTACTTGTATCTACACTTACTATCCCAATCAAAACTATCTCTATCTACACTTGCTATCTCTATCAACACTATCCCTATCTACACTTACTATCCCTATCAACAATCACCTACCCCCCCCCCGGCTATGTATCGAGTGTAAACAGACCCAGTTAGCTAGAGAGCCAGACCAGGTAATGTGCTCCCTGTATGTACTATAAAAAACATGGGGCCCCAGCACGACCCCTGGAGTACGCCTCTGCCTTGGAGCTCTATTTCTTATTAGTTTTTTCTTTATTTGTCAGCTTTTTTTTTTCCTTATTTTTAATCAATCTTTTCAATTACGTAGTTGTTCTCCTGTTAGTTCCGGAGTAGTACCAACTGCGTGTGTGTGTGTGTGTGTGCGTGCGCGCGTGCATACGGGTACACAGGTGGATATACACAGGGTCGTCCTTCCTTAAACAGTTTTTGCCCTTCAGGACTAAATACCAACACCCGGGGACAGCGAACACCAAGTCACCTCTGTCCACACACCCTCAACCCCGCCCACAGTCCGCCCACACACCCTCAATCGCGCCCATAGCCCATCCACATACCCTTAGCCCTGCCCACAGACACTGACAACCCTGCCACAACCCGCCCACACACCCTCAACCCCGTCCATAGCCCGCCCACACATCGTCAATCACGCCAATAGCCCATCCACCTACTCTCAACCCTGCCCTTAGCCTGCTTACACACCCTCAATCACGCCTATAGCCCATCCACGCACCCTCAATCACGTCTATAGCCCATCCACACACCCTCAACCCCGCCCACACACCCTCAACCCCGCCCACAGACATCCTTCATATTTTCAACCCAGTCCACTGTACGCCCTCATATCTGCAGCTCCACCCATTCTATATCCATACACCTACACCCCGCCCATTTTACTCCCATACACCACAACACCCAAAGCCTCACCCACCATTTGCCTGCATACCCAGACCCCGACCACGGTATTCACACACTCCCGCAATCACGCCGACTTACCCATTATCTCGTCCACATACCCACACCTCCGCCCACACCCACAGTTCCGCCCAAACACCCTTAGCCCACGCCTACACATACACCCACACTCACGCCTACACACTTACAACCCCACCCACACACTCAGAGCCACACCCACAGCCCCTTCCACTGTGGTGCATTAGGTGTGGGTGGGGTGCAGCAGCGGGTGTGGATGTGGTGCTGCAGTGGGTGTGGTGCAGCACCGGGTGTGAGTGTGGTGTAGCAGCGGGTGTGGATGTGGTGCTGCAGCAGGTGTGGTGCTGCAGCAGGTGTGGGTGTGGTGCAGCACCGGGTGTGAGTGTGGTGTAGCAGCGGGTGTGGATGTGATGCTGCAGCAGGTGTGGGTGTGGTGCAACACCGGGTGTGAGTGTGGTGTAGCAGCGGGTGTGGATGTGGTGCTGCAGCAGGTGTGGTGCTGCAGCAGGTGTGGGTGTGGTGTAGCAGCAGGTGTGGATGTGGTGTTGCATCAGGTGTTGGTGTGATGCTGCATCAGGTGTGGGTGTGGTGTAGCAGCGGATGTGGGTGTGGTGCAGCTTGGGTGTGGGTGTGGTGCAGCAGGTGTGGAGGTGCTGCAACAGGTGTGGGCGTGGTGATGCAGCAGGTGTGGGTGTAGTGCTGCAATAAGTGTGGGTTTGGTGCTGCAACAGGTGTGGGTGTGGTGCTGCAACAGGTGTGGATGTGGTGCAGCAACAGGTGTGGGTGTGGTGCAGCAACAGGTGTGTGTGTGGTGCTGCAACAGGTGTGGGTGTGGTGAAGCAGCAGGTGTAGGTGTGGTGCAGCAGGTGTGGGTGTGTCTCAGCAGCAAGTGTAGGTGTGCTGCAGCAGGTGTGGGGTGTGGTGCAGCAGGTGTGGGTGTGGTGCAGCAGGTGTGGGTGTGTCAGCAGCAAGTGTAGGTGTGCTGCAGCAGGTGTGGGTGGTGCAGCAACAGGTGTGTGTGTGTGGTGCTGCAACAGGTGTGGGTGTGGTGAAGCAACAGGTGTGGTGAAGCAGGTGTAGGTGTGGTGCAGCAGGTGTGGGTGTGCTGCAGGTGTGGGTGTGGTGCAGGTGTGGGTGTGGTGCAGCAGTTGTGGGTGTCTCAGCAGCAAGTGTAGGTGTGCTGCAGCAGGTGTGGGTGTGGTGCAGCAACAGGTGTGTGTGGTGCTGCAACAGGTGTGGGTGTGGTGAAGCAGCAGGTGTAGGTGTGGTGCAGCAGGTGTGTGGTGCAGCAGGTGTGGGTGTGGTGCAGCAGGTGTAGGTGTGGTGCAGCAGGTGTGGGTGTGGTGCAGCAGGTGTGGGTGTGTCTCAGCAGCAGGTGTGGGTGTGGTGCAGCAGGTGTGGGTGTGGTGCAGCAGGTGTGGGTGTCAGCAGCAGGTGTGTGGTGTGGTGCAGCAGGTGTGGGTGTGGTGCAGCAGGTGTGGGTGTGGTGCAGCAGGTGTGGGTGTGGTGCAGGTGTGGTGTGGTGCAGCAGGTGTGGGTGTGGTGCAGCAGGTGTGGGGTGTGGTCGCTGTGTATCCTTGGCTGGACCGCGGGTGACCCTTCCTGCCTAATGGTGGCGATGATGGTGGTGGTGGTGGTGGTAATTGTTGTAGTTGTGGTGGTGATGGTGTTTATAGAGGAATTGTTGTTGGAGATAATGGTGGAGGAGAAGGTGGTAGTTATGGTGGTGGGTGTGGAAAGTAGTGATTGCGTTAGGGGTAGTGTTGGTGGTGGTGATAGATATGCTAGTGGTCGTGGTAGAGATGGTGGTGTTAGCTGCGGTAGTGGTGGTGAAGGTAGCTGTGGTGGAGGTGGTGGTAGTGGAGGTAATAGAAACTGTGGTGGTGGTGGAGGTATTGACCGTGGAGGTGATGGTGTAAGTGGAGGTGTTGGAGGTAATAGAAGCTGTAGTGGTGGAGATAGAGAGCATGGTAGTGGTGGAGGTAATAGAAGCTGTGGTGGTGGTGGAGGTAACAGGCCGTGGTGGTGGTGGGTAACAGTAGTCGGTGGTGGTGGTGGTGGTACAGAAGCCGTGGTGATGATGGTGGTAATTATAGCTTCGTAGGTGTTGAGGCAATTATAGCCGTGGCGGTGTTGATAACAGGAAGCAGGTGTTGATGCACAGAAGCTGTGGTGGTGTTGATAGTAATAGAAGCCGGTGGTGGTGTTGGAGGCAATATAGGCTGTGGTGGTGGTGGTGGTGCACAGAAGCTGTGGTGATGATGGTGGCAATAGAAGCCAGGTGGTGTTGGAGGTAATAGAAGCCGGTGGTGTTGGAGTGCACAGGGCCAGTGGTGGTGGTGATGGCACAGAAGCTGTGCGGTGTTGAGGGTAATAGAAGCTGTGGTGGTGCTGGGAGTGTAATAGCTTATGGTGGTGCGTTGGAGGCTGAACAGTGGTGGTGGTGGAGTGCAATATAGCCAGTGGTGGTGGTGGCAATAGAAGCCGTGGTGGTGTAATAGAAGCTGTGGTGCCCGTGGTGGTGGTGGAGGTAATAGAAGCTGTGGTGGTGTTGGAGGTAATAGAAGCAGTGGTGGTGGTGGAGGTAATAGAAGCAGTGGTGGTGGTGGAGGTAATAGAAGCTGTGGTGCCCGTGGTGGTGGTGGAGGTAATAGAAGCTGTGGTGGAGGTGGTGCCCGTGGTGGAGGGAGGTTGTGGCCGCCAGTGACCCTCAAAGACTCAGCCTGGCCGGACGTACTCCCGGCCACTCTCTCTCGTCAGTGGCATTATAAGTGGGACACTCTAGCCTCACCCTGTAGTGTGTCACAGCCAAACTCCCAGACACCCACGCTCGGATAAGTGTGCACAGCCTATTGGTAAGTAACTACAGTGTTGATTTAAGTTGGTATTTGTGTAAGTAAGCATGTAAGTGTAGTGTTGTGTTATAAGTATACGCTGCGTTATGCTGAGACGTGTGTGTTTACTTATGATCAATGTGTAGGTGTATTAAGTGTTTCTGGAATGTTATAAGTATTTCTAACGTTAAGTAGAGACTTGTCTGTGTGTGTGTTGTGACCAATGTGTAAGTGTACTATTATAAGTATTTCCAGCGTTAAGTAGAGGCGTGTGTGTTTACTTGTGTCCTATGTGTAAGTGTGTTAAGTATTTCTGTGTTCTCGGTGTTAAGTCGAGCCGTGTGTGTTTACTTATGAGTTGTGTAGGTGTTAAGTGCTTCTATACGGTTAAAAGTAATCCTATCGTTGTGTTATGGCCGGGTGTATGCTGGTGTATACTCGAGCTCCACGTGTAGTGTAGTGTAGTGTGACAGGCGGGTTGCTCCTCCACTGTACAGCACTGAGAGGTCACCCGTGGGAGCTTCCTGTACTGTACACGCTGGCTGCTACGACTGTTACTACCGGTAGTGGAGGTTCGTCCTATTTATCGGTTCCAGGTTCACCAAACTTGAAATACAGGTTTGGGCATCACACACACACCCACACCTAGTTTTAGGGTGAGTGTACAGTAGACCACGTGTGAACTTGACCCCCTGAGCCCTATTTGTGCAGGGTAAGTTGGACCACGTGTGGGCTTGGTCTCTTAATTCCTATTCTCGTGCTAATGTAAGATAAAGAAAATTAACATCGCTGGTAAAAGGCAGGATAAGATAGTGTGTCTTCAGTAAGCATGTCACTGAGGTAAAAGTGCACGTGAGACGCTGCTTTCGCCCGTGCTGGCACTTGTCATTTGCTTTACAGTCATTAAGAGCGTACCAAATAAGAGCATCACTCCAGACACTACCTAATGAGTGAACGTTCGCCGGGCGTGAGAGAGGGAGACTGTCAGGTGGTATTGATGTGTCCAGTGCTATCGAAGCTGGCTGGCGTGGTGGTGAGTGACCTTATATATTATTGGTCGCGGTCAGGGGAAACTGGAGCACGTGAAGCTCTATACCACAGACATATCGACTGGAGAGGTTTGTCTATATGTCCCCAGCTAGGTGTGAGTTGCAACAGGCACGTGCACCAGTGAGGTACCAGCAAAGGTCATGCCTCACTCATATCGCCGTCACAAAAGCTCGAAAATCGATTCAGGTCATCAAATATTTACATTAAAGTTTCATTTACTGTCGTTCAATAGTTTTTGTTCAACCCCTCGCTGGCACTGAGCTGCGGGATGTTGTGCTAACAGACAGGCGAACACCACTATGCCCTTCTCGAGACCCAGTGGGGGGCATAATAACATGTTGAAATCATGATGTAAGGCCGAGATGCTTACTGTGATAGTTATACAAATTAGAGCAAGAGAGAAAAAGAGAGAGAGAGAGAGAGAGAGAGAGATAGTGAGACAGAGACCTACCAATAGCCTTGTATTTTTGTTGTTGTGGCCACACATGCGGGTCTTTCCGTAGACTGACCAACCAACCAGAGAGTGACGCGGTGGTGACGTCAGTTCCGCTACCCTCACCGAGAACTAGATGTCGTAGCAGTGACGTCACATCCGAGGTGATCATTACTTAAGGAGCAGGTGAGTTACATACATTCCTTAGTTGCCCACAAGACCCTCACACGACCAGTTCGGTGACGCCCCCCACCAGAGCAGGTCAGTCCTCCACCCCTGATCCATATCTGAGCCACTGGTCCTCTTAAAGGTTTGTACGACACGGTCTCTTCTCGTAACTCGGCGTGAAATTGGATCACTTTAAGCAACGTCTCAGTGTAATATCAACCAACGTTTCGGCTCCCGTGATTGTTTTTCGTGGTGTAAGCGAGACGGTGTAATTTCTTCTCGCATTACCAGTCAAGGAAACAGTTTAATTTGTGGACATTTTTTTGAGACTGTGTTTTCTTTTCGTCGTAACTTCAGTGAATCAGCTGAAATTAACTTAATATTTTTTTTTAGAAACTGCCGTCGTGTTGTAACTTTAGTGAATTAAGTTAAGAGACTTTGTTCTGTCTTTTAATTACAATGGAACTTAACTTACGAATTTTTAGGAATCTATACCTTTGTGTGACAACTTACGTGAACCAGTTAGATATCGCCAAACATCCTAAGTGAGTCTAAACTTTAACTTGGGATCCTTTATGAATACATCTCTGTGTCGTAACGTATTGATCCAATGAAGTCAGTCAGGCACTTTCTCGTATCTCCAATCAACAGAGAGTATAAACGCCTGAACCTTCTCTCTTGTTTTACTCATTCGTTTTTCATTTGTTTCATTGTTTTTGTGGTGTATCTTTAGCCCTCACCTCCCCTGCCTCCTGTAGCTACCCGCCTGACCTATATACGAGTTTAGATGTTTTTCTCACATTAACAGTTACTCAACGAGAAATTCAATCGATTTAAAATATTTGAGACTCTATATTGGTGTCGGAGCTTAAAGGAGTCAAATAATTTTATAGATTTTGGATTAGTAGCTTAAGGGAGAGAGTGTTTAGATCCTTTTAGATCTTGGATTAGTTTACAATATAACATTTAATCCCTTTTAATAACAATTATGTTCATTTAAGGAAGTTGAATTCTCTCTCGTGTCTCAAATTATGGGAGAAAAAAAATCTTGTTTATAAACCTTTGAGAATTAATTGTCGCGTTTTGTTCTAATTATATACAGGGTGGCTCATAAAAATATATTCACACTACCTTAAATATTTGTATGAAGTAATAGTGAAAAAAAAAATGCTTCTATTGCTTCTATTACATCAACAATATTATTGTGGGAGACTCCAAGGCATTAACAAGTAAGAGGATAATGTTTCTGTGGTAATATAAGCATTCACGCGATCACCCACGACTACATATAAAGAAGGGTGGATATATCTTTCTGAGACACCCTGTACATATCCTCACTTCTTTAGTTCAGCAAAATCTAGATTATTTTTCTATCTGAGGGTTCCATTTGGTGGATATTTGGAACACGCGAAGATTAGACACCCTAGTTCAGTTAACGTGGTTAAAATCTACTAACGCTACTACCTAGTCCTAAGGGATGGGTAGTGTTTGGTTAGATTAGGTTAACATTAGGTTAAGATGGACTAGATTACGTTATGTTAGATTAGGTTAGGTTAGGTTAGGTTAGATTAGATTAGGTTAGATTACTTAGGTTATGTTGTATTAGACTGAGTTATGTTAGATTATTAGGCTAAGATAGCATTTGAGTATTTCCATTGCCAAGACAAATAAACTGGTGCTCCTAAATCTTCCAATAATTCTCCAATTCTACGCCACATCATCACTAACAGAAACTATAATAATGTGTATGATACCCCCCTGATGACATGGACCTTGGCCTGGTTGTTACAAGATGAACGCAAGGAGAGTAAGTATACCTGTACACAGCTACTCTCTAACTCTCTCACCTCAGGTATTTCCCACCTTTAAGAGAACTAAGTAACTCGGGCGGCGGAAGTTTCAATTAGTTTGGACCAGGTATTGCGTACTTGTTCAGTTCAGAGTAATGTTAAGAGTTTTCATGTCGGTCTCTCTCTCTCTCTCTCTCTCTCTCTCTCTCTCTCTCTCTCTCTCTCTCTCTCATCTTGGCATACGTATTTGATTTTCTTTTATTATATTCCTTCTACTTTTATTTGGCATCTTTTAGTTATGGTTTTTCTTACTCCTTTTGTTTTCTTCTTCTTTTGGTCCGGGTAAATTGATGTTCCAATAATTTTGGTGTAATGGGGAGACGTCCAGTGGGTAGATTAGGTCCGTATGTCACAAGAAACACTCTGAAGGTCACTGGACTACCTCACACTGTACTATTAGTGCTGCTCATGCCTCCTCCAATTTCTCCTTCTCTCCTCCTGCTCCTTTTTTTTTTTATTTATCCTCCCCTCCTCCTCTCCTCCCCTTTCTCCTCCTCCATCCCTTTCTCTTCCTGGGGTCACATCATGGACAGATTGTGTCAGCGAGGTCGGAATAATATGTTCTGGAGATAAATTTTAGAATGGAAAAATAATATAAGGCGGCGAGACAAGATTTAAGGTTCAATTCTGTCCTAAATAAAAAAAAAAGACCACACGCACACAAGATTTAGATTCTAAAACAAGCAAGGCATAGGATTCAATTCCGCCCTAACATCCAAAACAAGGCATAGTACTAAATTATGTTCCGTAGACGAAAATCAAAACAAGGAGCATCACAACAGGACATGATATAAGGGATTCAATACTTCTAAACACTCTTCAATACCAAAAAAGAACGTCAATAAGACAAAAGATTCAAACCTTCATTACAGCCCTCTAATGAAGGACTGCCAACATAGAAAGCATAAAACACGATAGGGGAGGACGCTGGGATACCATTACACCGGCCCGTCATCCCATATTGGCTGAACCTTGACCACAAGTTGCACAACAAAAGATCTTGACCTCAAATATTTATCACCGGCGAAAAAGCTACTCGGCCTTAACGTTCAGTAAGTGAGCTCTTGAGGGTGTGGCTCCAGGAGGGTGTGATGGATGTAACGCGCGCCTTCATATCTCGACCTTATGTTGCCATCTAAGACTCGCACTAGTTGACACACAATGCTTAATTCATGTGTTTTTAAAGGGTGGTATGTGTTGTGTTGATTTGATGGGGTGGTGTGTTGAGGAGGGACTGGTTGATGGGGTGGTGTGTTGAGGAGGGACTGGTTGATGGGGTGGTGTGTTGAGGAGGGACTGGTTGATGGGGTGGTGTGTTGAGGAGGGACTGGTTGAGGGGGTGGTGTGTTGAGGAGGGACTGGTTGATGGGGTGGTGTGTTGAGGAGGGACTGGTTGATGGGGTGGTGTGTTGAGGAGGGACTGGTTGATGGGGTGGTGTGTTGAGGAGGGACTGGTTGATGGGGTGGTGTGTTGAGGAGGGACTGGTTGATGGGGTGGTGTGTTGAGGAGGGACTGGTTGATGGGGTGGTGTGTTGAGGAGGGACTGGTTGATGGGGTGGTGTGTTGAGGAGGGACTGGTTGATGGGATGGTGTGTTGAGGAGGGACTGGATGAGGGGGTGGTGTGGTGCGTAAATACTTGGTGCTTGGAGTGGTGTGTGGAGTCCCTCAGGGGGCTGCACAAATCCTTGGTCCAAATCTGTTTTGTGTTTTTCTATGTTATCCTTGTGTTGGTGAATTAGAACCGGTGACCGAACTCCTTCAAGGTGAGACAATGTTACCTTGGTGAGACAATTTTACCACGATGAGACAATGTTTCCATGGTTAATGTTGAGACAATTTTACCACGACGAGACAATGCTACCTAGGTGAATAAGGGGTTGTACTTCTACCTTGGTGATGCAATGTTACCTTGTATGTCAATGCAATGTTACCTTGTATGATGATGCATTGTTACCTTGTATGGTGATGTAGTGTTACTTTGTATGGTGATGCAATGTTACCTTGTAATGTGATGCAATATTATCTTGTATGGGGATGCAAGGTTACCTTGTTGCATTGGGATGCAAGGTTACCTTGTATGGTGATGCAAGGTTACTCTGATGAGAAATGCTTCCGAGAAAAAGTACTGTCACTGATGATGCAATGGTATTTCGGCGAGAAAATGTTACCTTGGCAGATGGTCAAGCAATGTTGCACCAATGAGACATTGTTTCCAGGGTGAACAGTGAGACAAAGTTACCTTGGTGCATGTTTAGTGAAGGACCATCCGTGACCACTCACTACAGAACCATCCGTGACCACTCACTACAGAACCATCCGTGACCACGTACTACAGAACCATCCGTGACCACGTACTACAGAACCATCCGTGACCACTCACTTTCTATAAGAACCATTCCATTGACCCGTACTACAAGAACCATCCGTGACCACTCACTTTCTAGAACCATCATGAAGAGCCATGACAAGAACCATCCGTGACCCACTCCCTTTCCACAGAACCATCATGGCCATTCTGGAACCATCCTGGCCGTACTCTAGAATACCGTGGGCCGTGCTACAGAACCATCGTGAACTCACTGGGAACCATCATGACCACTCACCAAGACCATCCCGTAGGCCGTGCTGGAACCACTCCATACGACCGTACTTCTGCAGAACCACCGGCATTACGTCTTACTGAACCGTAAGCAGACACTCACTACAAGACAAATGTTGACCCACGTACGACAAGAACCATCCCGTGACCACTCACTAGAACCATCCGTGACCACGTACTACAGAACCATCCGTGACCACTCACTACAGAACCATCCGTGACCACGTACGACAGAACCATCCGTGACCACTCACTACAGAACCATCCGTGACCACTCACTACAGAACCATCCGTGACCACGTACTACAGAACCACCCGTGACCACGTACTACAGAACCATCCGTGAACACTCACTACAGAACCATCCGTGACCACTCACTACAGAACCATCCGTGACCACGTACTACAGAACCACCCGTGACCACGTACTACAGAACCATCCGTGAACACTCACTACAGAACCATCCGTGATCACTCGCTAGAGGAAAACATACGTGATCAGCACCACACACCTGACTGGCGCCTCTGATAACGACAGCTTTTGTAATAATATTTAACCTTTCTGGGAATTGCTAAAAATATAAGATTATTTATTTAATTATTTATTTATCTTAATGTTTTTACTTATTTATTTATTTATCTTAATGTTTTGCTCTTTGTTGATTTCGTTTCGTCATTATGAAGGTAATTACCTGAGTTGTGATATGAGGTCTCAGGTGGCGGAGTAGAAGACTGTTGTTATTGAGGATTTAGACTGGATTAGCCAACGACTTATGTTATTATACAGAAATATATATTATTAAGGAGCGACACAAATACATATGACTAACATCACCAAGTCCGGTTATGAGGTGCTGTTATTATTACGAGGTGTGAGGGCTGGTGGGCCGCGGGGTGTGAGGGCTGGTGGGCCGCGAGGTGTGAGGGCTGGTGGGCCGCGGGGTGTGAGGGCTGGTGGGCCGCGAGGTGTGAGGGCTGGTGGGCCGCGAGGTATGAGGGCCGCGGGCAAGAGAGACCACAAGAACACTCAGACATTGGACCAAGGAGAGCCCTGAGGTGTGTCATAAGAGATAACAAGAGACCGAGTAACACCTCAGAATCACCTCTTTATTTATTTATTAATATTCATTATTTTTATTAATTTATTTATTTGTTATTTATTTATCTTTATTTATTAATTAATTTATTTATATATTCATTATTTATTTATTTATTTATATTTTATTTATTTATATTTTATTTATTTTGGTTTGTTTATTTATGTTGATATATTTGGTCGTGTTTAACGAAATATACCCCAGGATATTTCCAGATATACCCCCAATCCCCAGATATAAACCTCCCCAGATATCCCCAGTACCTCCCAGATATACCCAGTACTCCCCAGATATACCCAGTACCCCAGATATACCCCAGTACCTCCCCAGATATACCTCCCCAGTACCAGTCCCCCCAGATATATACTCCCCCCCAGTACCTCCACCAGATATACTACCTCCCCAGATATACCCCAGTACCTCCCAGATATACCCCAGTACCTCCCCAGATATATACCCCAGTACCTCCCCCAGATATACCCCAGTACCTCCCCAGATATACCCCAGTACCTCCCCAGAGCAGATATACCCAGTACCTCCCCAGATACCCCAGTACCCCCCAGATATACCCCAGTACCTCCCCAGATATACCCCCAGATATACCCCAGTATATAGCCCCAGATATATCCCCAGATATCTCCCCAGATATACCCCAACCCAGCCTCCCAGAGTACCTCCCCAGATATACCCCAGTACCTCCCCAGATACCCCAGTACCTCCCCAGATATACCCCAGTATCCCCCAGATATACCCCAGTACCTCCCCCAGATATACCCCAGTACCTCCCCCAGATATACCCCAGCCTCCCCAGATATACCCCAGACCCCAGATACCCCAGTCCCAGATATACCCCAGGCCTCCCCCAGATATTACCTCCCCAGATCGACCGCGCCCCACCCTGAGGTAGCGGTCTGCCTGGGGTTTTTGTCGTTGTATATAGGTCAGACCTCACCTCCTCCCTCCCTCCCTCCTCCCTCACTCACTCAACTCCCTCCTCTGCATCTCTTTCTCTACCCTTTCCTCCCTCCCTAATTTTCCTCCTTTTATCTCATCTACTCTCTCTCTCTCTCTCTCTCGTCTCCTCCCCGTCCTTTGCCCTAAATATTCACACCAAGGTAACTCCATCCTCATATTGATATTAGGTTATACATTCAGACACAACAGTACACGTCTAGGGTGCACCTGACTCATACACACATCACGTGCACCAAAACGTTAGCAGCAATTCAAGAGGATATGACTAACAGTCCGGGAGGAAGAGGGAACCCCACATTTGATGCTACCAGCGTGGCACTTGACACACATACCACACGCCACGACACACATACCACACGCCACGACACACATACCACACGCCACCGGGACCATTTTAAAGGGATTCTGGGTTGGCACTGTATCACCTGTGGCGGTCATATTTACAGAATGGTCGCTGACGGAGGTACCCCGGCATAGATTATGCCAGATAAGATTTAGTTGTAATGCTAATGTTGCATACACCCCTCCCCCCTTCCCTCACCACCCACCCCCCCACCTCCCCGTATTGGTTTAAGGGTCAGTATAGCGCCTTACGACTAACACGTATAACTGTTCTATGTCAAACTCTAGGTTTTCTAGAACAATGTTTCCGGGTAAACACTGATGACGCAGCGAGATAAAAAGTGCAGGAGTCCCGCTGAGCGAAGCTTAAGATTTTGTGACTAAAATATTGTGATATTTTATATTGTTCGGCTTCTGGTCCTTCAATGAAGAATTTAATTATCAAGGCACACACACACACACACACACACACACACACACACACACACACACGTTCACTGTTCTTCTGTGTCACCCAGCCGCCACAATTACAGGTCTGGGCAGTACCGTTGTCCTTTTACACATCGGCATCATCTTCTTCAACCTTTGTATTAAGTATCACACCGGTGTGAGACAGTCTCATCCGTAATTATTATCAGCTACTCGGGCAAGTTCTACGTGAGTGTCCAGCCGACCTGTTAAGGCGGGGGCAGGTGAGGGACCTTTAGCAGGCCAGCTTTGGTATCCCACTTGGAGCAGTGCCGGTCGAGGACGTCCTGTGTTGGTGGATGTTGTTGTCTTTGTCTTGGTGTGTGAACACGACCAGTTTGGCCGTGTTCACATTATTGAGTCGTAGGTAACTACAATATATCTGTTGAGGGTCACGTTACCTGCTAATAGTTTGTGTACGTGTATAGCGCGGCGTGACACCCTGTGATGACCACCACGTAGGTTTTTCTCTTAACGTGAACTATGAGGTGATGCCACAGCCAGTCAGTGTGTGGAGGAGGGCAGTGACTGGCTCTTATCATTGCCCAACGTGTGTGCAATGGCTTTTGCGTCCAGATACTTACAGGATTTTCCAAGCTGAAGCTGTTAGCAAGACTGACATCGTCGTCAGTGCGTGCTGTACAGACAGCTGAAACAAGAACAGAGAATGGTGAAGGAAGACGAGCTGAGAGACGAGAATCTGATCGGAATTCCTTCTAGTGAAACACAACACGACGGAACTCCTCAAGTTGCTAAGGAGATGAGTGAGTGGCCGGAGTTCAGTTTCTCGGCAAGGTGGTCATCACTCGGTGAAAACGTGCGACACCCGGGGGTGTATACGTGTAGCAGCCGTTACCTTGTACACACACACACACGCTGTGGACGGCGTAAGAGGATCTTATTCTGAACTGCCAATACTGATGTCGTGGCACTCGCTTTCAGGTGCTCAGCTGTGGTTGTACTAAAGATTACAGAGAACAGCTCCGATATATACCTCAGGTGAACACTGAATATGGGTGTATGTTCAGTGTTGACGCAGCATGACAACTCTACCTGGAAAGAACCAAAAATCCCATCAAATAAATTTCTCAGTGTTTCTGACCATAAAATCTTAATTCCGCTCAGCCAGATTCCTTTACTGCTCGTCTGACTACACCGCCATAACAGTCTTACCCGGAAACCTAAACCCACATAAACATAGACAATGAACAATGGTTTATCAGACATTATACTACAAAATTACTGTAACTTTGGCCGAAATCCACCTGTTTATACACACATTGATCAGAATTAGTTTGGTCCAGGTCTGTTCGGGTCGTTACGTTACATGAAGCTTTGCATTGGTAAACACACGTAATAAGTCACTGTCAAACATATTAAACCAAGGAAAGATGTATCTGGACAGGGGTCTATTTGTAATGGAGCCTATTTGTAATGGGGTCTATGAAGGCACTAAAACTCTCTTACTAAACGGGGAGTTATTTTCTTACATGTTGTCGTCTGAAAACTTTAGGACTGAGTGTTGATAGTGGCCAAGACATCCCTGTACTGGGTGATCTAAAAGTCCCTGTGCATTTGTAATACTGAGGATAGTTGTTCTTTGCTATACCTAAATTGTTATATACTTTGTTCACTTTGTTCTATTTGCAGTTATAATTGGAAATGATGAGAGTTGAAAGAGGTTACTATTTTCATTATTTATTATCAGTATAGAACAAGTATATAACAAGGTGAGTATAACAAGGAACAACTACTGTATATTGTTCAGGTGCACAGGGACTTTTTGATCAACCTGAATTTCGTGGTGCTGCGCTGACCTCACACAACACACGTGATGCGCTTCTGTTTACACTGGGTGAGGCGGACGTCGGGTTAACTCACGCACGTCATGGAACAAACGAACCATTTTTTTCCTCATACAGTCTTTTAATTTTGTTAGAGTGTTAGAATAGTTTAAAAAAGAATATAAACTAGATGGGATTAGTTAGTTTTGGTGTATGTATAGAGAGAGAGAGCTATAACTTGTGGTGAAGTACTAGAGCAGAGTGTCGTGTGCTGTGCCCAGACTTGAACACTGTATCTCTCACATCACGACCAGTTTTTGTGTGACCAAAACACTGGAAATATAAAAGAGTTTAGCTGTGTAAAATTAAATCATGATTGAATAAAGAATAAAATTGGTTATTTCCAGGTACGATAATAGCATGTCATTTACCTCAATTAGGTGAAAATAGATGGCGCTGTACCCGAGTGGACACAACACTCTCTTCCCCAACAGTCACCGGTTCAAATCCCACAATCGGTGTCTTGAGTAGGTTGCCCCCCTGTCGACCCAACTGCAGAATAAGTGCTGTACCTAACTTTAAAAGTAACTCAGGCTTCGGCTTCAGTGTACTGTATCCACCCCGCCCCTCACGACCGTCTGGTGTAAGATAATTGTTACTGTTCTCAACTAAGCCTCAGTACCAACACATGATGGTCAATTATCATTAAACATCCTAGACCAGGGACGAACCGTGTAAACCAGCCTACAATAACAATACGAAGCTATTAACTCAAAGTACAATCAGACATTGTTTGACTGGATTTTTTTTTTAGAATACTGTGTTGATGTTCCTGCAAGATTACATAATTTAAACTTTCTGAAGTGAGTTGCTTCCGTCCTGTACTGACCTTTTATACAGACAGCTCGTAACAGAAGCCTAGTTACTAGCTGAAGAGATCTAGATGTTGACGCGCAGTGTAAATAATAATGGTTGCCCCTAGGCGTGAATTTGTTTAAGGTGTAGAAGCTGTCGCCAACACAACTCGCCAACAGCACTGGCTAACCATTACCCCGGAATATGATCCGCAAATCGATTAACAGCCAGGTTCCCAATTACTGCTGGGAAATGCCGTAAAGAAACTTGCCCATAATTTACCCAGTCCGGGGATCGAACCAGGGTCCGCTCGCTTGCGAGGCGAGCACGCTGACCATTACATCACAGTTCGCCCGCCGCGCAGTATAACGTCAACATCAACAACCTTGGAAGGACAGTCGACTGCAGGATTTTCCGTGTTGTTCTGCCGCCCATCAAGTGTCTTATTGTTTACATGTTGAAGACTATACATACGTCCCCTGGGTCTTCCCTTTATGTCTATACACTCAACAATACTTTTATACCTGGGGTAGTACTGGTAACAGGAGACTTGATCCACTCTCTGTTAACAAAACCATCAGCTGATCTGTGTGTGACGTTTGCGCAGCTTCTCTACACAGTAAGGTCTCGCACATTGAGACAGAAAACATATATTTCCTTATTTCTAAATGTCATTTGATTTAATATCTGACCTTGTGTCGTGTGTTTAAAAGACCTTAGCTGCATGTTGTCCGGAACTATCAGGACAAGTACTATAATCCAAACGTAAAAGATTCGTCCAAGTCCTCAGAGATTCGAATCTTTGGAGACCGAAACCATCTAAGATAATGAATCCCATCTGTATGTATACCGCAAACGAACTGTATAACTACGTATCCTACATGACAACGGGATGAATACCAACATGTATACCCACTTACTCAGCCAATCACTATTCACCATGACACACCCTACACCTGCTATATGTTTTAAGGTCAACAGGTCAAATATCAAGGTCACAATATATTGATGAAAAGACACAAAGACACAGACTCATCCGCCATGACTTGACACAGACTCATCCGCCATGACTTGACACAACTCACCTCTACAAAATTACTATTGATTCACAGTAATATTTTGACAGCCATTTTCGTTTAACAGTATCGAGTCTCTGTAATTTTGACGCCATTTTCGATCATCTTGTTTACGTTTTAACTCAAGGAAGCCAATCATATCTCACCTGGATTCTCGCGTCATCAATTATAAGGAATAATCTTACATACCCTTGAGAATCTGGACATTAGGCAGGTAGAGGGTGATCAATAAGTCCCTGTGCACCTGTTGTAATTAAACCACTATACTTCCTTGTTATATCTCCACTGTTATATACCTTGTTCTACTGCAGTAAATATTAGAAATGTTCACAGTAGATATAGGAAGTAGTCTCCATTATTAGTGTATAGTGTAAGTAGAATAATTATCGATAATGGTAAAGATAAAACAGAGGACAACTACAAGTGTTTAGTTGTAAAGGTGCACAGGGACTTTTCGATCAGTGTATAGCTGAATCAATAAGAGACTGAAGATTGTTGTCTTTTTATTATTATTATTGTCATTGTCATTATTTTTTACTATTTATTATTATTATTATTTGTAGTATCAGTAGTAAAATTGTTAATGGTATCTCTATCATCATTTTCACTTCTGGTTGTAGATAGCATCAGTTAATTAATAAGACGCCCTTGTTCTTTGTCACCGTGTTAGTTTCCGGTTGTGTGTGTGTGTGTTTGCGTATGTGTGCGTGCGTGTGTGCGTATGCTATTTCTTTAATGTTATTGTGTCCTTTGGGGGCTGGGAGGTGGAAAGAGGAAGGGGGGAGGGAAGGAGGAGGGGGTGGGGGAATGGAGTCATCACGTCCGTCATGCGCCAGAATCATGCACGTCATCAGATCATGAGGTTGAAGGCTGACCCCGGACTTATGTTATTTATGTGTCAATCTGTACCCTGTGTGTGTGTGTGTGTGTGTGTGACTGTATGTGCGTGTGAAAGCGTGTGTGTGCGAACCCGGTCTCATCTACTCTGCAACACACTCACACAACCCTTCGAGGAAAGGTAGAATCATTTAGTATTCAAGGTCAGACAGTTTAGTTCTACCTACTTGGAATGATCGGGGCAGTGGAATCCGTTAAAGCCGTTACAACAGTACTGATAAGTCCGTTAAAACGGTTAAATCGGGTAAATACGCTTCATCAGGGATTTCTTCATGGCTTTAGTATCGTTTTTTTTATTATTATCAACTACCACAATTACAGTCACCACCATAACAACCTTCACCACCACTACCACCAAAGCAACCACCACTACCAATACTATACCCACAACCACTACAATTATAATCACCACCACAACAACAACCACCATCACAATCACCACCACCTCCACAACAACCACCACCACCACCATTACCTTTTAACACTTCCTCCTTCGCTCTCTCACCCCCCAGCGACCCAACCCTTCCCCCACTTTGCTCCAGATGAACCCTCCACCCCTCCCACCCTTCCCCCCGCCGCTCCCTAGCTATAAAAGGTCACCCCTACCCGCTCTTGGGTCTAGACAGGGGGGGAGAAGAAAAGAGGTCGGGCAAGGTCACAAGGGTGGGGTCATCCTGCAGTGGTGTAAGGAAGTTAGAGAGAGAGAGAGATTGAACATATAAGCCTTTTGCTCACTACTTACTAGCCTGTGTAAATCCTGAGAGAGAGAGAGAGAGAGAAAGAGAGAGAGAGAGAGAGAAAAAAGAGAGACGGAAATTCCTATGAGTAACGCTGCCGATCTATATCTCATCATACGCCCGACAACGTGATGATCACTGCTGCCCAAAGTTCGTACAGCAAACATACCTAATAACCCAACCGATGGCAACAAAACTCATCTAACAGGTTTCATCAATTATGCTACATCACGTAAAAAATCTAGTTGGACAAAAATGGCTATAAAAGTGTCTTGTGTCTGACTTCACTGTTGTCTTGTGTCTAGTTCATGGCTGAGGGGAGGGAGGAGGGGCTATGGATATTAATTCATACATCGTTAGAGAGAATTTCGTGCTCGGGAAATAAATGTCTTGCTTATATATAAAGTCTTGTCTTATATCTACAGTAATGTAACCTAACTAAACTTAACCTATCTGTACCTAAACCTAACTTAACCTACCCTATCCTCAACTCCTAACCTAAACTTACCTTAACATAAACTAACCTAAACTTACCTTAACATAAACTAACCTAAACTTACCTTAACATAAACTAACCTAAACTTACCTTAACATAAACTAACCTAAACTTACCTTAACATAAACTTAACTAACCTAGCCTTAACCAGACACAAACAATACCTTACTTGCCCAGAGATATGTTTGTAAACAACGAGGCGTGGCTCTGGGAAAGGGAACATAATTCCAGTGACCTTCAGCGATGTGAATTAATACAGATTTTAATTAGTCAGTGGTTGAAGCTCTTGTTTCTATCTATCTATCTATCTATCTATCTATCTATCTATCTGTCTGTCTGTGTCATCTCGTACTTCAGTGGTCGCCTCTTCCACTCGAGGCATAAAGAGTAAAATAATTCGACACTGAAAAAATAAAAAAAATTCCTTTGGCATAAAACAATAGACGTGTGTTTATTCAAGCCACTCATTCTGGTTCTTATTTTGTGACGTAATTAACTCCCGGACACTCATTTGACTCCCAGGTTGATGACGTCACTCAAGTACACTCGGTTGATTGCCATGCTAATAAGACTTTAATTTATTCATTGTCATTAAAATTAGAGACAAAAAATAATCAGCTTTGTCATGTCTGGTGGACTGGAGGGGCTCAGGTTCTCAAAGATATGTTCGTATATAGTTGAGTCTCGGGAAGGTTCTGACGCCATTTTGTAGTTAGCTGTTGTGTTTGTGTTGTAGTTTTTAATGATGGTTATTAAGAACCTGTCTAACATTCCGGTTAAAAGGTGATGTTATAATTTATTTTACTGCCCCCCTGTGAGTCTGAAGCCAAGACGTGTTTACCAATGAAGCAGAAGTAAAAACATTAGACACACGTCGGGCGCAAAGCTTCCTAGTCTTGTTGCCAGAGATCGTGATATTAAATTTTACTGAATAAAAGAAACATTTTTACGAAGCAAGTTATGTAAACCCAAAAGAATATTGTCAAGAATTTTTTTGATAAAGGAATAATAATGTTTATAGAAGATGGCGACAGTGTGGAGAGAAAAATGTTTGTCAAGTGGCGTCGAGCACGAGGGAAAAAAACAATGGCGCGAGAGATGACCAGCAATTGTTGCCACCTCTTGCCGAGTTGGCTGGCGGCGGCGTCGATGGTCATTGTGTATAGCAAATAAAAAACTTAAAATTTACAAATAACACACAATACCTCCAAACCTGCTGTGATAATGATGATACTAAACTGGTTTAGGTATCACGTCGGCCTCGAGTGCTTGGTTAGGTTCGTCGCAGGAGTCTAAGCGACCCTGGAGTTTTTCATTCATCTCGCTCGACTGAAAAGTTGGAGTGTCTAGTCACTGAGCGACCTTGACTTTTCCATTCAACCCCACGTGAACTTCTTGGTATGCAAACACCCGGTTATATTCTTGTCAACAAGGTCTTCCGGCGTGTGTTATGACATGTTGACGGGTGCTAACAAAGGAGAGCATTACTGTATATATTCATAGGGTATTAGATAATGACTTCTGATACGATATATTTTCAGTGGTATAAAGGGCGTATATCATAACATTCTCAGTGGTAGGGTGATTTTAGATATGGTAATTGACTGTGGTAGTTAACTTTTCTACCTGACTGATTGCATCATAATAATGTGTACGTGTGTGTGTGTGTGTGTTGAATCACTAACTTGAATACACCTTTACAGTGACCTGTGGCCTGGCTCGGTAAGTAAGGGTCACTGACTTCATCAATACACTGACCTTTCTTCCCTCTTTCTTCACTGTTGCAGGAAACTGACTCACCAGTTGCAGTGACTGAGTGACTCACTAGCTGCGGTGATTGACTCACCAGCTGACTTAACACCTGTAAGGATTGAGTGACTACTCAAAGAACTGACTCATTACTTGTAGGGATTGAGTGACTCAACTCAAAGAACTAACTCACCAGAGACCAAGTGAATCAAAACCAGAATCTGTCTCAAGGGCAAAGTGAATCTATTTAAGGAAAGTCACACGTTACATTTGTAAACATTGAAGAAGAAAAAACCGGATCTTGTTAAGTCGAGATTAAAAACGACGACAAAAAACCCGCACGAGTCTCCGAAGAACGTCGACAAAAACACAGAAAAATAGTCCAAAAAAGACCAAAGCAAAAACGACTACCAGAGACTTCAAACGACCGCAGAGAAGGTCACAAGAAAGACCGCAATCAGAGACCGTAAGGGAACGGTTAAAGCGGGCAGTTAAGGTATCAAAAGACCGCAAATAAAATGACTTAAATAGACAGTGAAGGACCGCAACAAAAGACTTCAAAAGACCTCTTAAGTCCGCAAAAGAAGACCACATCAAGGGTCTCAAAACAAACAACAAAAGACCCCAATAAGACCACTGAGACCGTAACCATGGTCTACTTACCACCCGGACACGGAGGTAAGTGTGTGACTAAACTGTACTGGACTGAGACCGACATTATTATTATTATTATTATTATTAGTAGTAGTAGTAGTAGTAGTAGTATCATTATTACTATTACTCATTATTACTACTATTGCTCTCATTCTCATTGTCATTATTATTATTCTCATTATTATTTCTAGTCTCTGAAACATCTCGGTCTCTCCTTCAGGTTACATACCCTTCGTGGAGCTGCCCTGTGAGAGATACCTGGGAGAGACACTACAGTGGATCCTAACTCTCGCTCTCTCGCCTCTCACCTGTCCTCTAGTCCCCTGGCTCTGTTGCCCCTTTGAGGTAAATTGTCCCTACCTGTCTCTCACTCTGGATATTATCTCGGTTTTGTATTGTAAATTAAATGGACTTATTGTTTTTGTTATTGATATTATTGTTATTATTAGAGCACTATCACTGTCATCATTATTATCACCATTGTTCATCATCATCACCACCACCTCTCACTATCAGTACCTGTCACCATCACGTTTCACCATTACCCTCCTCATCATTACCACCACTCACCGTTACCCTCTTCACTATCAGATAGAGGACACCAGCATCACCATCTCCAATCGACAGGAGTGTAACACCCCAGGGGCGGCCTACGGGTCCACGGCCTTCTGGACCATGCAGGGCGTCTCCATCATTGGTCTGGTGTTCGCCATGGCTAGCCTGGCGAACTGCGCCGCCGGGCTAGCAGGCATACCGCTTGGTCTGGTGAGTGTGTGTGTATGTGCATGTGCATTTATGTGTATTAGTGTGTGTGTGTGTGTGTCATCATTACAGCCCCAGCACAACTAACTCTTCCCTCTACTTCACCAGCCTGGCGGAGTTCTTCCCCTGACGCTGGAGCTGCCTGACCTTCGCATGGCACTGTCTGGCATCGAGGTGGATAAAGTCAATGAAGAGGGCCAACTCAATGTCATCAAGAAGAGGGTCATAGACATCTTAAAGGAGAAATATAAACAGGAACTAGAGAAGAAGAGGCGAATGGATACGATTTTGATGAAGGAGGAGATGGAAGAGAATAAGAAGAAGGAAGAGGTTGATAGTAGTATTCTTCCCGAGTATGATAATGCCACGCTGGGTCAGGATTTGTCTCACAGTAGAAAGAAGAGAGAAGTTGTTCCAAACCTTCGTATACCGACGCTGTTGGGGCATGTACCAGGTGAGATGGGTGTTACTTCACACACACACACACACACACACACACACACACACACACACACACACACACGCACACACACACACACACACACACACACACACACACACACAACAGGTCCCGCCCAATAAACCTGTTTTCTGCCGGACACTCACCCCGAATATTCATGTCTTCATCCCTCCAGTCAGAGGACGTGTAAGGTCTCTCTCCACCAATCAAAAGGTGTTTCGAGATTTTTTAGCCAATCAGACGACATGTAGGGTTTTCCTAACCAATCAGGGGACTTTTAAGGTCTCTTAGCCAATCAGATGACTTTTAATGTCTCTTAGTCAATCAGACGTCTTTTAAGATCTCTCAACCAATCAGAAGATATGTAAAATTCCTATCCACCAATCAGAAGACGTAGGATCCTTCTTCACCACTCAGATGACGTGTAGGAATTACGTCATATCTTACATCAACAATTTACTCTTGGGAGACTTATTCATCATATCTATTATTATTATTGTTTACTTATTCATGTGTAATATTCATCATTTGCCCACCACTTGCTCACCAATAACTCGCCGTTAACTCACTATTGATTCACCATTTACTCACCAATTACTCACCATATTACTCATCACTTACTCAATACTCACCATTCACTCGTGACTTAAGCATCATTCCATCACCATTCACTCATCACTTCCTGACACTCACGACTCACCCTCTTACAGGCCCGGATGACCAGCGAGTAGATCCTTGTGAAAGAGACGAGATCTTGGCTGAGGACGGTGACTGTTATGAGGTGTTGAGCCAAGGACCTTGTGAAGATAATGACATTCTCCTGATGGATCCCTACACACGGAAGGTGAGAGGGAGGGGCAGGGAGATAGTTAGAGAGAAAGAGATGAGAGGTAGGCGGAGAAGTGTGTGTGAAAGAGAGAGAGAGAGGGGTGAAGGAGAGAGAGGGGGGGGTGAAAGAGAGAGAGGGGGTAAAAAGAGAGGGGGGTGAAGGAGAGAGGGGTGAAAGAGAGAGAGGGGGGGTGAAAGAGAGAGAGAGGGGGTGAAAGAGAGAGAGAGGGGGGTGAAGGGGAGAGAGAGGGGGTGAAAGAGAGGAAGAGAGGGGGGTGAAAGAGAGAGAGAGGGGGGTGAAGGAGAGAGAGAGAGGGGTGAAGGAGAGAGAGGGGGATGAAAGAGAGAGAGAGAGGGGAGGTGAAAAGAGAGAGAGAGAGGGAGGTGAAAGAGAGAGAGAGAGAGATTTATCTGGACCCGAGAGAGAGAGAGAGAGAGAGAGATTTATCGGACCCTTGAAATGCTTATTGAGCTTTGTCCAAAAATATAGATAGATAGAATTGTAGACAGACAGAGAGAATGAATGAGAAAGAGAAAGAACCAGATAATGAGAGATAGATAGATTGAGTTAATGAGAAAGATAGATAGTGAGAAAGAGATAGATATAGAGTACCTCACTTACCACCACCATCTCCCACAGGGTTTCTGCGGGCCGCGACTGTGTGCACCTGACCGTGTGTTCGTCTTCAGTGACCAGCAGTGTCACGACCCCCGGGAGTATGGCATCTGTCCCCGTGAGTATTGACTGGTTTACTGACTCGCTAATTGGTTGGTTGGCTGGCTGACTGATTTGCAAGTTGGTTGATTGGCTGGCTATTTAGTTGACTGGCTAGATGGTTGGTTGGCTAAATGGTTGGCTGGCTAATTGGCTAACAGGCTAGTTAGTTAGCTGGCTGAGTGATTGGCTAGTTGGTTGGCTAACTTCCTAGAATCTAGATGGTTAGTTGAGTGATTCCTTATTATGATTTATACTCCTGTCTATAAATATACTCCCCTATCCATTCACTGCCTCCCTCTCCCTACCGCCCACTTACCCTCCCTCTCCCTCCATCAGCTGGCCGCCAACTCTTCACCACCAGCTATGGGACGCCTGTGTGTGGGTGTCCTGACGGTACCTACGAGGAGGACGATGATCTGGACGATGACGTGTGTGAGCCCGTCCTTGGCCACATCAGTAATTGCCCCCCGGGACAGGTGAGAGGGTTTAGGACATGTGAGAGGGTGATTATTGCCCCCTTTAGGACAGGTGAGGAGGTGATTATTGTCCCCTTTAGGAGAGGTGAGAGGGTGATTATTGCCCCCTTTAGGACAGGTGAGGAGGTGATTATTGTCCCCTTTAGGAGAGGTGAGAGGGTGATTATTGCCCCCTTTAGGACAGGTGAGGAGGTGATTATTGTCCCCTTTAGGAGAGGTGAGAGGGTGATTATTGCCCCCTTTAGGACTGGTGAGAGGGTGATTATTGCCCCCTTTAGGACAGGTGAGAGGGTGATTATTGCCCCCTTTAGGACAGGTGAGAGGGTGATTATTGGCCATTTTAGATAGATGAGACTTCAGAGGCTTATTTTTGTTCTTCTAGGAGAGATAAGAAGCTGATTATTGCCCCTATACAGGTGAGGAACTAATCATTGCCCCCATACAGGTGAAAAACTAATTATTGCCCACATACAGGTGATACACTAATTATTGCCCCATACAGATGAGAAACTAATCATTGCCCCCGACAGGTGAGAAACTAATTATTTCCCCCATACAGGTGAGAAACTAATCATTAACCCCAAGACAGGTGAGAAGCTTATTATTGCCCCCAGACAGGTGAGAAGCTAATCATTGCCCCCAGACAGGTAAGATGCCCTATACACTAATTTAAGAAGGGTTTCTCTTCTATCTAACAAACTCAGTACCCCAGATTTAACAAGACCTACACCTCCTCCCCATATAAACACCCCCTATTTAACAAGACCTGCACCTCCCCGTATAAAAATCCCCTATTTAACAAGACCTACAAACACCCTTATAAACACTCCCTATTTAACAAGACCTATATCTCCTCCCCCTATAAACACACTAACAAGACCTCCTCTCCTTCAGGTATTCTGGTTCGATGACTTCAGAAACCCACCTGTATGTCGGCCGGATCCTTGTAAGGGCCTGAATCTGAAACGAGGCCCTGAAGACCTTCCTTACGTCCCAGCCCTGAAGGATGGCAAGTGTTACCAAGTCGGGTCGGTGAGTTCTCCCTTAAGGGCTATTTTACTAGTTTGTGTATCCCTGTTTCCCTATATAGTTCTTAATGGGTTTTAGATGGCCCTGATTGTGTGTTCTAGATGGCCCTGATTGTGTGTTCTAGATAACGCTGAGCATAAACAGTAGATACACCTTAATGTTCAGCTAGTCCTTGGCTTCATGATCTAGATAGCCGTGATTATAGCCCTATATATATATATATATATATATATATATATATATATATATATATATATATATATATATATATATATATATATATATATATATATATATATATATATATATATATATATATATATCCCTTTAAATGGCCTATGATACAGCTAAATTATTAACGTATACACCCCTGACTATAGCTGTGGTATAACTTCATGTGTTGCCCTTAAATAAGCGTTGAATTTAGCCCTCTAAATACCCCTTAATATAGCCTAGATATTGTTTACCGTGTATCCCTGAATATAGCCATGCAAGGTTTCATTATATAGCCTTTATACCCCCCCAATTCCCCCATCCCTCCTCCTACCATGTGCACTTTATGAGCAGCAGCATAAATGAACACCCTTAGACACCCTTTGTATTCCCCCGAACACCCTTGAGAACTTTGTGAAAACCTTTGCATTCCTCCTGAACATTACTGAACATCCTTGAGAACTCTTTAAAGACCCTTGAACACCCTTTGTATTCTATAGCCCAGAACATCCCTGATACCCCTATTTACTCCCTGACACCCCAGAGAAGTTCCTAATCACCCTGAGAACTTCCTAATCACCTGAGAGCTTTCTAACCACCCTTGAACACTCCCTCTACAGAAGCCGGCCATCTGCTCGTCGGACCAGTATTACTCCCTCTCCCTGGAGCTACTGCGAGGCGTCTGTTCCTCCTTGGAAGACGCGGGCTACCTCGTGCTCGACTCTGACGCTGTCCAAGCCATTGTCGAGATGTTCGGCAGCCTTTTACCCAGGGAAGATTCTTCCTCTTCCACCTCTTCTACATCATCTACCTCACCCTCCTCCGCCAAGCCCTACAAGAAGACCAAGACGAAGACTACTCCAGCAGGAACGTATATCTGGAATAATCCTAAGATCGGGCAGTCTGTCGTGCCGCCTGTGGAGTACGAGGACGACGACGAAGAATCGACATCAGCCTATATTGGCGCGCCGGTGGTGGCCAACCATCACCCGGCACAGAACGAGGTGGACGGTGTCTTGATGTTCCCGACCCACATGAGCGCCTTCTCTGCTCCTTTCGTCACCGTTAACGGTTCCATCACCATCCTTGGCTTCCTAGCAGGGTGAGTGTCTGTACGAGGGTCAATGTCTGCACGAGGGTCAGTGTCTATACGAGGGTCAGTGTCTGTACGAGGGTCAGTGTCTGTACGAGGGTCAGTGTCTGTACGAGGGTCAGTGTCTGTATGAGGGTCAGTGTCTGTACGAGGGTCAGCGTCTGTACGAGGGTCAGTGTCTGTACGAGGGTCAGTGTCTGTACGAGGGTCAGTGTCTGTACGAGGGTCAGTGTCTGTACGAGGGTCAGTGTCTGTACGAGGGTCAGTGTCTGTATGAGGGTCAGTGTCTGTACGAGGGCGAGAAACACAAGACGTCCCGACACCTTCCCTGGCAGGATCAAACTTGCAACAGTTCAGAAACAATGTCAGCACAAACCACAGGATATAATAATCTACATTCTGGTCTGTTTACTGTGTGAGTGTGTGGTTCAGTGCCTCACCTTCCAGTCATCCTGTGTACGAGAGAGAGAGAGAGAGAGAGAGGGGACAATATGAGTTAGAGAAGGTGCCTGTGTGTCATGAATGTATCCTCACGTCGTTACTGTCCTTGTGGTGATATCCTACTGGTACTGTCCTCTTGGTACTTCCCTGATAACTTCCCTCTTACTTCCTCCTACAGGTTGGTGCCCATGTCGTCACCAATGCACCATCGTGAGCGCCGGTCTCCACTTCCGTTCGCCTCCCCTGGCAATGTCTTCGAGCCCGGCCTCTCCGCCTGTCGTGCTGGTGCCAAGAGAGACGGAAACGCCAAGTGTCGCAGCACGTGAGTATTAGAGGCCACATAAAACTATTATAGGACCACCAGCGGCCATTTAAGAATACGTAGGACCATGTAGGGCCACCTCAGTCGATTATTAGACTATGTAGGAACATGTAAGGCAACTTCAGGCCATATAAGACTATGTAGAATCATACACAGAGGCCATATTAGTCTATGTAGGATCATGCAGGGCCACCCCAGGCCACCGTGAGCCGTTTAAGATAATATGGAACCAGAAAAAAAGATGATAGACACTTTGAGAGATTAATTATCTTTCCCCCATCAACTCAACAGTCAAGAGTGAAGTTTATACACACACACGGGCATTCCCTCTCTGCCTCTCTCTGTTTACTTATACGTCTCTCTCTCTCTAGGATTCTACCCAGCAGATATCCTCCCTCCCGACCCCGAAGAGCAGCACCCCCCGTCCCCCCAGCGACCACCTGTGCGTCGGTAAGTATACATACCCCCCCTGTGAACCCTCCTCCCTCGAGTCAGCTGTGTCATGTGGGTATCTGTTGTAGTCATGTGTGTGTATAACAGGTGTAGTTATGTGTGTATACCTGTTGTAGTCATGTGTGTATACCTGTTGTAGTCATGTGTGTATGTCTGTTATAGTCATGTGTGTATACCTGTTATAGTCATGTGTGTATACCTGTTATAGTCATGTGTGTAAACCTGTTGTGAATCTTGCAGGGCTTCTGGGGTCTGAAGCGTTCGTGCACCTCCAGCGCTAGCAGCATCGCCTCATCCATCAACGCCCTCGGACTCGGTTAGGATGCCCTGGGATCCTCCAAGGCAATCCAGGACACCCGAGGACCCCCCAATGACAATCCAGGACACCCGAAGACCCTCCAATGACAATCCAGGACACCCCGGGATCCTCCAAGGCAATCCAGGACGACCCAACACCCTTTAGGATAACCCATGACAATCCAGGACCCTTTAGGATGACCTAGGACGCCCGGGACGTTGTAGGACACTATAAAACATTCCAGGACAATCTAGGACACCTCCAGGATGCTCCCAGGAAGTTGTAGGACACCACAGAACATTCCTGGACACCTTCCGGATGTCCCCAGGATGTTTTAGGACACTTTAGGACATTCCAGCACAATCCAAGTCACCTTTAGGATGCCCCCAGGAAGTTGTAGGACTCTCTTGTACATCCTAAGACGCTCCAGGATGTTTCAAGATCCCCAAGGATACCCCACAATCCATGTAAGACATTCCAGGACCTTTCAAGATCCTCCAGGAACTTATAGGACCTCTCAGAATAATCCAAAATATGTCAGGGCGATTCAGGATCTTCAAAAATTTTCCATCATTATTTTTCTTGGGAGTTCCAGGACATGGCCAGCTACTCTTGGCCACTTAGAATTGGCCCGTTAGATTTGGCCAACTAGACTTTATTTGCTACATTTGGTCCATTACACTTGAGGGAACGTGTGATAGATAGATAGATAGATAGATAGCCTCACGATAGATGCATGTATAGACTCATGATAGATGGATAGATTCATGATAGATGGATAGACACATGATAGATAGATAGGCTCACGATAGATGGATTAACACATGAAAGATAGATGGATACTCATGATAGATGGATAGATTCACCATGGATAGATTCATGAAAGATGGATAGATACAGGAAATATAAATGGATAGACTCACTATAGATAGATGAATAAGCACATACTAGATACATGGATAGACTTACGATAGATGGATAGATACATGATAGATAGATGAATACTCACGGTAGATAGATTGATAGACTCACGATAGATAAATAGACACTATATATATATATATATATATATATATATATATATATATATATATATATATATATATATATATATATATATATATATATAGACTCACAATAGACACATGATAGATAAATGGATAGACTCATGATAGATGGATAGACACATAATATATAAATGGATAGACTCACGATAAACACATTATAGATAAATGGATAGACTCATGATAGATGGATAGACCCACGAGAGATGGATAGACACTCAGGGGGTTGTCAGATTATATTTTGGACACCACACGGGGAAACCACTCGATGGGCGTGGCAAATTGGGCACCAGGAACACCATTTCAGACCACAAAAGGACATTTAGGACAGTAGAAACATTTAGAACGATAGAAGAACTCCATTTACACTTTAGATATGGGCCTTTTAAAACATTAGGGAATATAGGAGGTTAAAGGGGACATTTATCTGTTTAATATATGGTCGTTTAGTACACTAGGGACCTTTACGACGCAAGAAAGGACATTTACACAATATAATATGGTCTTCTGAGACATTAGGACACATTTGAAATATTGTAAGGGAAATTTGTACAATAATACTCGAGGGAACATTAAAAAAAAATATATATATGGCCTTTTTGGACGCTAAGGGGCATTTATGAGGCCTTAGGGGCATTATGACGACAAGGGGGCTATTTTAGAACAATCGAAATAGCCTTTGGGATGCTAGTTGGTGCATTTGGGACATAAGAGAGCATTTACGCTATAGACAGGGGTTTAAGGACACTAGGTGGAGCATGTAGGAGTCAAAAGAGGGCATTTAGGGCACTAGGGGGAGCATTTAGGATACAAGATGGAGCATTAAGTCTGTAGGTCAGCACGGACCAGTTTTTGACACATTCGCCAAATATTATGAGCATTCGCCAATTATTCGTCATAATTCGCCAATCATGTCTTCGTTATTCAATCTTGTTCGTTGTTTACAATTTTGTCCCGAGAAGCCAATCATGTCCTGATTCACCAATACTTGTGCTGATTCGCCAATACTTCTTCTGATCCGTCAAGCTTTTCCTGATTCGTCAATACTTATTCTGATTCGTCAATATTTGTTCTGATTCGTCAAGCTTTTCCTGATTCGCCAATACTTGTCCTGATTCGTCAATACTTGTGATTCGCCAATACTTGTCCTGATTCGCCAATGTTTTTGTCCTGTGTGCCAATATTTTTTCTTAGTTTTTCCCCCTCGCTTGGAATTTTCCCCTGATCTCTCCTTGATTAGTCCATTTCTATTCCTCGGATTCGCCAATCTCGTCCTGGCATGCCACTATTGTTCTGATTTCTCATTCTAATCCTCGTCTCATCCCAATCTTGTTTTCTTGTTTTTGATTCGCCAGTCTTGTTTCCACTTTACTGGTTACCATGTGGGCTTGTGGGGAATTTATGAGGCATTTAAATCCCCCTGTTTATTGTTTTAAGGAGGGGGGGGGTGGGTCGGTCGGTGTTGGTAGTTGTAGTTGTAATAGGTTTTACACGTGATACTGTAGGGCATATATTTTTTTTCTACATATATGTCGTGTTGTGAGCTCATAGCACCGATGAGGAATTTGTGATTTTGCTGTGTCGTGAGCTCATAACACTGAAGGCGTTTGTGAGTTGGTCGTGTCGTAAGTTCACAGCACTGATGAAATTTGTCTTGTCTTGTCGTGAGTTCATAACACTGAAGGCGTTTGTGAGTTTGTGAGTTGGTCGTGTTTTATGTTCACACTACTGAGGAGATATTTGTCATGTCGTCAGCTCACAACACATCCATTAGTGTGTGTGTGTGTGTGTGTGTGTGTGTGTGTGTGTGTGTGTGTGTGTGTGTGCGTGCGCGTGCGTATTGTTAAGGTTAGACCGCCGGAGCTTCACTGTGTCTCCAAATATTACTTATAATTAAATGATTACTATAAAATGCCGTGTGTTTTATTTCATCCCTGGAGGGTAACACACACACACACACACACACATTCACCAGATAGACACACACACACACACACACATGCACCAGATAGACACACACACACACACCAAAAAATTCATGCACACACACACACACACACACACCAAAAAATACACACAGATACAGAATACACACACACACACACACCAAAAAATACACACAGATACAGAATACACACACACACACACACACACACGAACACCACCAAAGGATATCATTAATACACAAGTCACGTGGAACAATTTATTATATTAACGCCGTAAATAAGTACATGAAGAACCACATTAATTAGTAATGGGGAGAGAGAAAATAATGGGTAATGGGAGAGAGAAAGGAGAGAGAGAATACGGGGAAATGAGGGAGAGAATAATGGGTAGTGGGGAGAGAATAATGGGTAGTGGGGAGAGAATAATGCGTATTGGGGAGAGAGAGGGAGAATAAGGGGTAATGGAGGAGAGGGATTATAATGGGTAGTGGGAGAGTGATAACTGATAAAAGCAAGACAACGGAAAGTAAGAAAAATATAAAAAATATTAATGTGAATTAAAAGATAATAATGCGATACTATCATAGTAATAATAATAATAATGATAATAAATCCACAGCGTTGGTTAAGAAAATAAAAAAATAAGGATAATAAAAACAGTACAATACAGTAATAGATAAAATACTGTAATAAAATATTAATAAAGTTAACATATTAGTAAAAAAAGTGATGCCTTAGAACACAGTGGGACCCTCCCCTTGCGGTATGCCTATTGGATATAAATTATCTATCTTTAACTGACTAATTCATCAGCCTTTAATATTATTCCCCATTATCATTTTCTTTTATTTCGTTGAATCTTTAGTGTTTAATTTCCTTTGATTAATCTATGTTGTCTGTACGTAATGGTTTGTTTACATTCAGCTTGTTGCTCATTGGCCGCGACCCAACTCCCTCGGTGATGCTTATTGGCTGATGATACATTCGTTCTCTGTAGTGATTGGCTGATGGATGATTTACATGATCTCAGTGAGCGTTGTTGCCAAATCTTACGGCTGTTGGAGGTAACTTAACCCAATGGATTTCGGTAAAGAGTTCGACCTCACAATGAGCCCATTAGCGAGGCATGGCGAGTGTAATTAACCCAAACATGATAATGATCTTTGAATGAATAATATTTGCCCTAACAGTTAAGTACATCTGACAACATTGCAAGTGAACCCAAAACAAATTAAGTTCCCTATTGGATCTGAATCACTATTGGGACACTCAAAAGTTCCTGTGTTAAGTTCTCCTCGTAATTAAAGATTTGAGAACGTTTGTAAATACTAAACTTAAAGACAAAACACAAATAAAAAACCTGAGTCCTCAAAATTATCCTCAAAATCTATGATAAATAAAGATACCTTCTCTTGACACCAGTTCAGAATCAAAATCGAAATTCAGAATCTTTCTAAATCCGGACTGAGGAGTCAGTAACATACAGGACGATTTTTATTCTCGGTTTGTTGACTTAAAACACTCGTACATAAAACTTAAACCTATAAAGGAGATCCAATAATCATCACTAACCTATCATACAAAAATAAAGCATCAGGATAAAACAATGAAAAAGCATCAGGAAGCCATCACAGTGACCATAAAAAAAATACACTGTGATCGAAAAGTCTCTGTGCATCTGTAAAAATTAACCCTAGTGTTGTTCTTCGTTCTTATCACATTGTTTTATACTTTGTTTTATTTATGGTGAATATTAGAAATGGTCAGAGTACATTTTGGAACTGGTTATCATTATTAATTTAAAATGTAAGTAGAACAAATTATAAAAACAATGTAATAATAACAAAGAACATCAATGTGGTTAATGTTTACAGGTGCACAGAGACTTTTCGACTACCCTGTGTAAAATAAGGTACATATTGTAAGACGTTTAGCCACGATGACACAAAACTCTACGGTCATCAACACCAACATTTCACTTAATCGTCAACTTTCGTCTTTTTTTCATATCACTGACCACCTGTTGACCTTTGACATCTAGTTATGAATGTTACTGTAATATATTGGTGTTGTGACAAGGAATGAGAAAATGCATTGAATTGGCTCGTGTCGGGTATATAAATAGAGTTGCAAAGGTTCGTACGTTAAATAGTCCCTTAATTGTGACTTATGACAAAAAAATGGATTCTCAAATATTCATACGTTCATTTTTTCACCTTATTGTTGATGAGAAGAAAACAACTAACTGGCAACTACCCCTTACCGCCACTTAAGTCAGTATATATGGGTAAAGAAAAGACCATTGTACAAACAGTTATGATTCAGGAAAGGGCTAAGGAGGTGTTTCTTGTTCAAGTGAGAAAGGAAGGGAGATAAATAGGGAAAAATGAGTGAGAGAAGCATATGATTACAGGAGAGAAGGAGGTGTAAGAGAATGAGGGAGGGGAGATGAGGTGTGAGGGAATCTATGGGACAGTGGTGTGTGTGTATGTGAGAGAGAGAGAAACGTGGTAGAATCATGGAGGGGGATTGAGAGCCATGGAAGTGCTAAAGAAAGAGAGTGAGAGAGACAGAGACCCTAAACAACAGGAAGGAGGAGGGGAGGGAGAGGAGAACACCAACAGTAAGGGAGAGAGGGCCAGGAGGTGATGGGCTGGGTGCTCCTCGACGACCAGCACCACTACCCGAGGTTGAAGGCGTTAATGGAGCTGACGGCGGCATTGGCGTCTGTACACATGCGCTTGATGTTGTATGACTGACCCTGGAAGAGAGAGAGAGAGGAGGTTAAACGCCATAATAATGAGTAATAATAATAGTAGTAGTAGTAATAACATATCGATAATTAGACTTAAGAACATCTCACTTAAAGACAGCTGGTATTTAGGGACACAGACAGCTGGTATTTAGGGACACAGACAGCTGGTACTTAAGTAACAACACAGCTGGAACTCTTACCGCGGGACAGCTGGGGTTAGCGGCCACAGGAGGAGCGGCCCTGGTTGTTCGTTTAACAGGTGGCCGAGAGGGAAGAATG